GAGCAGGGACCATGGGGGGACCCCCACCAGGCCCCATCGCCTGCATGTTCCCCCAACCCCCTGAGTGTCCCCCTACCCCTGCCTGCTCTCCCAGCCCATCAATGGCTGCCCTGCCTGGCCCCAGTGCCCTGGTACCTTAAAAAAAAAACAAAACCAAAAAAAACCCCTGCAGTCACCGGCTGCTGCAGTGGCTGTTGGGGCTTCTGGGGCCTCATGGCAGAGCCCTCCACACAGTGTGGGGAGCAGTGGGAATCGCCACCCCCCTCTCCCTCCCCAGGGAGGCCAAAGAATCAAGACCCAAGTTTGAATATCTGCTGTCACTGCATAACGAGGAGAAAATCATAATTATCTTTTTTCCCTTTTCCAGTTAAATAGGAATAACCATATGTATCTACTTCTGTATGCTTCTGTGGACATTCAGTGGTTTGTGTTGGGGCTGTGCTTTGAAAATATACATCACAAAATACTGTTTAGTAGTAGCGTGCTTACTCGTCATACAGGCTAACAAAAATTGGAATGAAAATGCAGTGTAATTTATTACATTTATATGATTTATCTCTGATTCATCACTGGATGACATTGAAACACCCTGTGAACATATGCAGTAGGGCTGTGCGAAACAGCACCATTTCGTTTTGAATTCTGTTTTGTTGTTTCGAAGGGACAGTGTTTCATTTTGTTTCATTTCGTCGAATCTGTTTTGCTGTTTCGACACATTTTTGACGTTTCACCATAGGCTGTAATGGGGAATCATGAAAATGCCTATACCATTGTCATTTATTGCCTGATTCAGATGGAAATTGCAGGGATGGTAGCCCCTTCTGAGGGCGTGAAGCCTGCTAAGTTTCAAGGCGATAGGTGCAGGGGTTTTTGGAAAATTGCACCTCAAACTGTTAAAAGCAAAACTCATGTTACTTGCTGGCAGTGGCAGCCTCCTGTCATCCTGTGTGCAGATCTGGGCACCCACATCCCCGGGTGGGCTGTGGGGCTGTGCCAGACTCCTCCCGAGGGTGCAGGCCCCTGGATCTGCACTCAGGATGACAGGAGGCTGCCACTGCTGCCTGAGACTGGCGCTGGGCACAGCCTGCAGCCTGCACCCAGTGCCAGGAAGACTGGTGCTGGCACTGGTTCTATGCAGCAGCGGCAGCTTCCTGTTATTCCATGCTCAGATATGGGGGCCCACACCCCCAGAAGGGCTGTGGGGCTGTGCTGGACTCCTCCTGGGGGTGCTGGCCCCCAGATCTGTGCTCAGGATGACAGGAGGCTTCTTCTGCTGCCTGGGACTAAAGCTGGGTTCAGCCTGTACCCAGTGCCGGGAAGGCTGGTGCTGCTGCTGGCCCCAGGCAGCAGTGGCAGACTCCTGTCATCCCACATGCAGATCTGGGGGCCCACAGCCCCAGGAAAAGTTTGGCAGCACTGGGAGGGCAGGTTGAGTTCCACAGGGCTGGCAGAGCCTCTTGGAGCTCAGCCCTGGCTCTCCCTGTCTCCTGCCACTAGGCTGTACTCTGAGTGGCTCCACCAGCCCTATGGAGCTCAGGCCGGCAGCAGGAGAGCCAGTGGTGGAACCGCTCAGAGCACAGCCGTGGTAAGCACAGCCTGGCATCAGGAGGTTCCGCAGCCCCACGAAGCTGAGTCTGGTGGCAGGTGGCAGGGGCAATCCACTGGCTAGGGCTACGCTCCAAGCTGCTCCACCACTGGCTCTCCTGCCACTGGGCTGAGCTCCATGGGGCTGGCAGAGCCAGTCGGAGTGCAGCCCTGACAGGCACAGCCTGGCAGCTGGAGGTTCTGCAGCCCCATGGAGCTGAGCCTGGTGACGGGAGGTGGCGGAGCACCAGTGGTGCAGCTGCTCAGAGCTCAGCCCTGGCCAGTGGCTCTCCCCCACCTCCCGCAACCAGGCTCAGCTTCATGGGCTGTTGGAGCTGCTTGGAGCGCAGCCCTGGATCTGAGTGCAGCCCTGGCCAGTGGCTCTCCCCTGCTTCCCACTGCCAGGCTCAACTCCCTGGGGCTGTGAGCCTCCAGCCACTGGGCTGTGCTCACCAGGACTGCGCTCCAAGTGGCTCTGCCAGCCTCATGGAGCTCAGCTCCATGGTGGGAGAGCCAGTGGTGGAGTCGCTTGGAGCGCAACCCTGGTGAGCACAACCTGGCAGCGGGAGGCTCTGCAGCCCCACGGAGCTGAGCCTGGTGGTGCAAGGCAGGGGAGAGCCACTTGGCAGGGCTGGACACAGATCCAGGGCTATGTTCCAAGCAGATCTGGCTCTCCCCCCACCTCCTGCTGCCAGACTGAGTTCTGTGGGGCTGGTGGAGCCATGTGGAGCACAGCCCTGGCTCTCCCCTGCTTCTCACCACCGGGAACATGGAGCAGGGTGTGGGGGCTAGTGGTGGCCGCACACAGAGCCCCTCACTGGGTGGTAGGTGGCGGCGGCAGCCACCACTTGAAATCCCCCCCCCCCCAAGTCTGGCCGGAAATTCCGGTTAGTCGAGTCTTCTGGATAGTACAATGCCAGATAACAGGGATTTTACTGTATTTAGAAAGATGTATTGCTTACATACCTTTCACTCTTACTTGCGGGTAAAAATATTAGCAGATAGTGAATAGTTATCAAAAATAAATTTAGTTTCCTCTTCATTATGGCCAATAAAAATAATTGAGATGGAAAAGTGTAACCTTATTTTTCTAAAATGGTGAGGGTAATTCTGTGTTCTTTGTCAACTCTGAGAGTTCAAGATGCATAAGGAGAACAGGATTAGGCCTGATGAGAGGGACAGGAGTACAGGATAGTAAGTTTCCTTCCCCCAGAGCACCCATATATGAGCCTAAATATTTGTGAGTGTCACTGTTCAGTTTTTTGAGTGTCAGGAAGCCCAGCAGGGCACAGCACGTTCCTTGCCACAGTCATTACTAAATGCACTCAGGAACTTTAGCTGTGTGAATACTTCTTTTAAAACACTGAAGGGGTGTAGATTTGTAATATCAAATTACAAGAAATGCTTGAATTAAGAGTCTCTTTAAAACATGAGGCAGAGAGTCTGTGGTGTGGTGGTATTCTACTCCTAGCTCTGACACTCATTTGCTAGTGATCTTATTCAAGATCCCAGCCCAGGTTCTTCCCTTGTAAAATGGAAACAATACTGTTATTTTACACGGATATTTAGTGTTTCTAAAGCACTATGTTCTGATGGGTTGCTCTGATAGGTGTTAATGAAGTATAATGTGTTTCCTTGTATTGAAAGAACTTGGGGGTAGGAAATGTCCCTTTGTTCTTAAAGATTAACATACAGAACCAGTTCAGCATGCTACACTTGATTTGAATAATAATCTGAACTACAAATCTGTCTCATGGTTTTGTTCCCTTACAGCAGGGTCAGTAACATTTCAGCATGGGACAGACAGGGAAACCTGTAAAAGCTCCTTGATAAGAATAAGGTGAAATACTAGACCAATTAATTAAAACAGCCCTGTTGTTAATGAGGTGGTTCAGATCTCCGTTCATATTAGTTAACATCCTAAAAAGAGCATGTGCAACAATTCTAAGTCATCAGGGCAAAGAAGAGAAGTAATTAGAGACTGTCCTTTTTTTGGTAAAGTGAAGTATAAGCCAAGCCTTGATTTGCAAGCCAAAACCATGTTCATTTCTGTATAAATATGTGGAGGCCATCAGGCTGCTACTGTACTTCTCAGGCTGCTTATATTTCTCAATCAGCTCTAAATTGTTTAAACATGTTTAAGAATGATCATGCTCTTGTGTATTACAAGACACTGCATATGCTAAAGATAAAGATACATGCTACATGTTCCAGTGCATGTGATTTTTCCATCCACATCCCCATCCCCCACACACACACACAGACACACACCCCTGTATTTCTGACTTATGCTTAGGTTTCTTTTTTCGGCACGGAACCAGAAAACATATTACCACCAACAATCTGCAAGTTAATCTTACAACTTTTTGCTTGTACTTGGGCCCCAGCCCATGGCTCTGATTTGTTATCTGACTGATGTTAGTCACTCTATGTTTAACCCAGCTAATACATTAGCCTCTGAGGTAGTAATATGAATTGTTATAAAGAAAAAAGTTAAGCTGTCTAAATTGGTCTGTGCTAAATGCTTATGTGCCAAATTGATTGTAATGTGCACATGTTAGAAGACTAACCAACTGAGATTTCAGCAGCCTGCTTTCAGGAGACCTGCATGGCATAAGGGCCATCCCATGGCTGGTGAACCTGACCTACATTCCCAGCTGTGAGTTTGAAACCTCGCTTGGCAGAAATCTGCAAATGAAGTTTTGGCATTTTGCTAAGATGCAATCCTGCTCTGGGATTTTTAATATGGGGAAATATAATATGAATCCAGTCAGTACTGTGGAAAGCATTCAAGCTATTTTCAAGAAGAAAATAAATGATGCATAGGAAGGGAAAGGGATTAGGAGCATATACCAAGAAAAGGAGCAGGGATTGCTGGGTAAGGTGGTGCATTTATGAGGGGGGATAAATGGGGATGGATGGTGAGAAAAGGTTGTGAGCAATTGGGAGTCCCATGTCAGGAAGCTGATGGGGGCTGGCGAAGTGGGTTGGGACATGGAATAAAATGGCAGGGGAATCAAGGGCCTGACACCCCTATATTATCCCCAACCTTGTGTGTACCTTGGTCCAGGGGTGGGCTTATGCATCCTGAAGGAAGGCCTGTGCCCTCTTTCGGCCACCCATATATGGTGAGATCTGGGCATTCTACCTCCTGAGCGCTTTGAGTCTCTATCCCTGCCCTTAGTTGAGTGTTGAGAGAGAGGATTTTCCTACCCCTGGGAATCTATGAGCCCTCTCTCTGCTTCCTTTCCTGCAAAATAGCATATGGGGACCATTCTTCCTGCCCTGTCATGCCTAAAGGTCATATAGATTTAAACTGCTCCTGCTTGGGATGGAGAGGCTGGCCAGAATGGTGGATGAGTGGAGTCCAGCTTGCCAGATAGCTTGGTTTAAGCAACTAAAGAAGTATATGAAACTCTAGTTCAACGGTTCCCAAACTGACAGATTGCGTACAACCAATTAAAAATGATACAGTCTTAAGTACCATCAGCAATTTTTTTGTACACATAAGCCCCTCCCACTGCCCAGGCTCTTCCTGGGGCCGCCTGGGCCTTTCCAGGATGGTGGGGGCCTCCGGGAGGCAGAGGCAGATTAAGGTGTACTGGGGCCCTGGGCAAACACAATTAGAGGCCCCGTTCCCCAGTAGGAGCTGGGCTGTAGGGGCAGGGTGGGGAGAGAGACCCCTTCCCCTCCTGGTGCTGGCAGAGGGAGGCTGGGTGGATCCCACTGGGCTGGGGTTGGAGGGGCACATGTCCACCTCTTTTCCCTGCTACCACTTCCCCTGCTACAACTGACCATACACACAGGCACACCCACAGATGGGTATGCACTCTACTTACTCGGTCTCTGCAGATGGACACACACACAAACACAGCCTGCCTACCATGAACACAAGACACACAGACGTATGTGCACACCAAGACACTTTCCCCTCACAGGACCTCCTCCCTCCCCCACCTGCAGTCACTCTGGGGCACCCCTCCCCACGTTCCCCCCCGCTGTGAGCTGCAAGTGGCTCCATCTAGCTCCCTGCTCAGCCTCTGTTAGACTTACCTGTAGGGAGCTACTGCGGCTGTGTCCCATGTGGCCACGAAGATGCACTGCGCCTCTGCGGGCGGGTGGTGCTGGGAGGGGTGACTATTGGGGCAGGGGGGACTAAGATGAATTTTGAATTAGCCATAGCCCCTAAGGTCCCCCCAGTGCTGTTGCCACCCACCCTCCCACAGAGGCACAGTGCTCGTGGCCTATCCTGGCTGTGCCACAGCACAGTGTGGTGCTCCCGGCCAGGCCGCCCCCCCCCCCCCCC